ATGCTCGTGCCCCATATCTTAATTCTGCATTTTATATTGATGTATAAAATTAGGATCGGACGTGTATATGCGAAGTCCGGCCGCATTTTTTTTTCTTTTTTGGGATATGTTGCCGACTAGCGACACCGGCCTGTTTATTATTTTTGATTTGGCTTGTTTTATCTTTTGCATCATGTTGCATGTTTGCACTTGCATGTGTTTTCTTTGTTTCTTTCTGTGATTATCTGGGATTTCACGATATAACATAGGCTCTTTAGGATTTAAATTCCTAAATTTCTATAAAATCCTAAATAAAATATTCAAGATAATCAAAAATTTAGGATTAAAATATTCATGATCTAAAAATTGCAACTTTTACTTTCCTGCATATATTAATAGGGCCTCCACAATATCTAGGACCGCTCTAGATAACTGCATTCATATTTGCATGTCCTGAGAAGAAGTCCCCGTGCTTCTCCAACCTGACTGGCCCAGCATAACTTTTTATAGGTGGTTGTCTAGTGCGCCTAGGATGTTAGAAGGTTCCCCGACCCAGACGGGGTATAATTCCTTTTGTTTGGAGTGTTTCCAGCTTTGTAGCTGAACCTTCACTTCTCTTTCTTTCCTGAGGCATCTTTGTTTTTTCGACAGGTATAAGTCTCATCTCTTGGAGCTCCAGCTTGTGGTCATAGAATAAAGTTTTCTTCCTTTGACTTTAGGGCTACCGAGGTTCCCGTGGATGAAACAATTCACGAATTGCTGACCGAGGATTTCAGGACGTGTTGGGTCGACTACCTTCACGACCAGGTAGACCTAGGGTCTTAGTAGCTGTGTATGACAGGTTTGTGGTACCCCGACCCAGTTACATCTACCTTTTAGAGATCACTCTACCATTCTACATTCCTTTTTGTTGAGCCCCTTTGAAACTTGTCGCTCCTTGACCTCGTTAATATCACCTTGACGGCCCGATGTCAATGAGCTACCGCTCATTTGGGATACGACGATTTGTCCTCTACCCTTTGGCCCGGACGTGCTTTGACGTATTGGGATATCCTGGTCAAGATGATTTAGGTTATTCCGTGGGCCCCATGTGCCGATGAGTCGCTAGTAATTTCGGAATGTGAGAGACTCACTTTGCTCGATTGCTTAGCGTGAGCTTTGAAACATTGCAGACTGTTCCCACACGGAATAACCTTCATTTGATTGTATATACCCCAGGTTTATGATAATATAAAGCGAAACTCCTTTTATCGAGAGTATTCTTGGGTATCCCCCAAGATGTAATTAACCAGTAGGAACACGTTCCTCTGAGAATGCTCTTGACCCCAGAACAGGTACATACACCTGACTCTCTGGTTATGAGTAGTCTATGTAGGTAATTTTTTTCGTGAATATTGGTTTAAGGTGTCTCCGCCCGATTTTGTTTGGGCGGACATTTTTAACCTATCCTTGCGAGATTCATCGCACTTAGACTCTCCACGTTGTAATCGTGAATATTGATTTAAGGTGTCTCTGCCCGATCTTGTTTGGGCGGGCATTTTTAACCTATCCTTCCGAGATTCATCGCACTTAGACTCTCCACGTTGTAATTTTTCTCTTGTTTATCTCTTTGTCGTATGTCCATTTTTATTTTATTTCTCTTCTCTTCGAATCATTTATATGGTTCAGGAGGAAGATTTATTCGAATGAGGGAAGTATACGACGATTGACAAGCTGACAACTTCTTTTAAAATAAAAAGAAAAAAATAAACGGAAACATATCCTTTGATGTTTACCAATAAAAAATTATTTAGTTTCAAATATGATATTTGTCAATTAGCTAAACATCATCTAGCATCATATCCAACCCACTTTTACACTCATTCCGCTCTTTTTTCACTAATTTATAGTGAGTTGTGGGAACCCTTTCGAACGCTTACTTACACTAATAAATGATGGTGTCTTATCGTGATTGATGATCACACTCGAATGACATGCGTCTATACTTTCAAAGACATTTAAAGTTGTTGTCACCTTCAAAAACTTTTGTTCATTCATTTTGATCCAATTCAAAACTTTAATTCAAGTTCTTCAAACCGACAACGACCGTGACTTTTTTAACTCTATATTAGAGAATTCTTTGATAAGGGCATCCTCCATTGCAACTTCTGTACATATACTTCTCAACAAAATGAGGTAGCAGAGCAGAAAAACAAACATTTCCTCAAAGTTGTCTATTCCATTATATTTCAATCGGATGTCCTTAGACGGTTTTAGAATGATGTCATATTTATCGCCACATACTTTATAATAGAGTCCCCACCAAAATTCATAAATTTCGGACCCCATTATCAATCTTGAGGTCATGTTTTCCTACCAATTGATTCTTCTTCCCCTTAAACCACAAAATTTTTGGGTTGGTGCATGACCATTTTTTCAGAACACTGCCTCAACTCATAATAAAATTGATTCTCGTTCAATTAAATGTATATTACTCAGATATTCTACCACTCAAAAGAGTTATCAACGTCTCAATCATTTTACAAATAAACTTTATGTGAGTGTTGATGCCTCATTCCTTGAAAATATTTCCTACTTCCCCAACATTGTCATATGTGAGGGGGATCTAAATTTTTTGGACACTACTCTTATCCAAACTCCGTTGGATATACCACTTACTCCTCCAGCCATTGTTCCTGAGGAACTGTCTGTCCCATTGGATTCACCAATTACCAGACCAACTTCTTCTCCACCTACTCTTCATGTCTATACTTGGCGCATCAAACCCTCGGTTGAGACCCATCCCAATGCCTATACTCTTGAGCCCACTGCCTCTTTATAGGACTTGGAATCCCCCCCCCGACAGACATCCCCGACACTACACTTGCAGAGATTATTCAAGCTTTGATTAAGAAGGTGAGTTCTACCATTGTGGTACGCAATCAGACTTGTTCTCTTTATTCCATGACAAAATATATCTCATTCCACAGCGTCTAGCCGATCTACAAAGCATTTGCCACTTATTTGACGGATCATCGTCTTCCATTCACTATTGAGGCAGCATTGGCGGGCCCTTCTTAGAAGACTATAGTAATGGATGAGATGAATGCATTTAAGAAAAATCATATGTGGGACGCTGTTGATCTTTCTTAGAGGAAGAAAGAAGTTGGTTGCCCATGGATCTCCAACACCAAATTTAACTCCAAGGAAACATTTGAAAGCAACAAAGCACAAGTGGTTGCCAAAAACTACTCACAAACCTACAGAGTTGACTATGAGTAGACGTTTGCTTTGGTTGCTAAGTTGAACATCATTCGGGTCCTATTATCCCTTGCTGTGAATTTAGATTGACCCTTACTTCAGCTGAATGTCAAGAATGTCTTCCTTGATGACGATCTCACAAATGTGGTGTACATGTCTCTACCTCCAGGCTTTGACTCTACCTCTTCCTGGGGACAAGTGTGTCAACAGCGGAAATTCGTCTACGGATTAAAGCAATCCCCTCAGGCCTGGTTCGGCAAGTTCGCACAGATCGTAGTGGGCCATGGGTTCTCTCGGGCCCTATCAAATCATACTCTCTTCTTTTAGCATTTCTTTAATGACAAAATTGTCATTCTTTTTGTCTATGTCGACGATATTGTGCTCACAGGTAATGATATGTCAGCCATGGAATCTCTTAAAGTCATCCTCACGACATCCTTTGAAATGAAGAACTTCAGATCTCTTTGATACTTTTAGACATGAAAGTTCTCAACCCTCTTAGGGCATTTGCCTTTCCAACGCAAATATGTAATTGACCAATTGACAAAGACCAGTGAGTGGTTGTTCTAATGAACCCCAGTGAGAAATTAGTTGATGTGCCCAATGTTGTTCCTGTGAAAAAAAACACACTATCAGTGCTTTGTGGGAAACTCATTTATCTTGCCCATACACGCCCCTATATTTTTCATGCAGCAGGTATTGTAAGTCAGTTCATACATGCCCCCTATGAACACCATTGCACAACTATCCACCGGATACTCCACTTATTAAAAAGCACATTGCTCAAGTATGTTATTCTCGCGTCATATCTCTTGCTCTATTACAGTTTATACTGACGCTGATTAGACCGGATTCGTCCATGATCGACAATCTACCTCGGATTATTGTTCATTCGTGTGGAAAAACTGTCACCAAGAAAAGCAAAAAACAGTTAATAGTTGCCCAAAGCAGTGCAGAAGCCGAGTTTCGTTCCATGTCTTCGGGAATCTGTGAAACGCTATGGTTACTCATCGTACTCTGCAAATTATGCATGCCGGTCTCTACTCCTCTACAGTTGTTCTGTGATAATAAAGTCGCAATTAGCATTGCTCATAATTTGATCCAACATGATCACACTAAGCATGTGGAGATTGCTGTCACTTCATCAAAGAGAAGCTCAATTTTGAGAAAATTTGTGTTTCATTTGTCTTATCCAGTGATCAACTCGCAGATATTCTCACAATAAATTTTTCTCGCCCGTTGTTTGACGACTTCAAATCCAAATTGAAAAAAATTATCTTCTATGCTTCAACTTTAGGGGAAGTATTAGAAGTTATTAGAAATTATTTCTATTTATTTTGTTGCATATCTTGTTATTTTTTTATATATGTATTTCCTAGTTTATACCTTTCCTTTTTATCCTTTGAATGTTATTAGGAAAGATTTGGGTATTATATCTTCATTTTTCATACCCTTGAATCATATATTTATATCCCTTTTGCTATTCAATACTATTATCCCACTCTATTCTCCAAACCTACAACTTTTTACATATATGCCACCAAAATCTTTCATATCACATCAAAAATACAACCACTTCAACTTTTAAAAAGTGAAGTACACCTTTTCATGCATAGGTAAGATGTCATGTATGTAAAAATTGAAGTTTGGGTGTTAGAAATGTAAAGAAATGTAAATACATAGGAATTGAGTGGCATGTATGTAAATCTTCCAAACAATAAAGTAAATCAAAATATTGATATGCATGTATTTTCATATATCAAAATGTTATACATTCATACCCGTCCATCTCCGGCATTTGGACATCCATGAAGCAAGCATCGAATTTGTGCGGCAGTTTAAGGAGCGAAAGAGCGACTTTCCCGCTTTCGGCGCACTCAACTTTAGCACCATACTTTTTAAGTGCAGCAGCAGCCACTCTAAGATTTACCTTGTTATCATCAACAACCAATATATTCTTCCCCATAAGTATGCTTCTAAGAAAAACCAACCCATAAGGTAATTCTTTTCTCATCTGGTTTTCAATTCCCACAGCTTGCTTAAGGCATACTGCCACAGCGCTAGCTCTCAGAGGTTTCATGATGACAAGATCTGCAAAGGATTCACCCTTAACTTTATCACATTCTGAGGTTCCCAAAAGGATTATCTTGGGCAATTCAGGTATACGTCGAGTTTGCTTCCACTCAAGCAACTGCTTACGTAAGCAAACATCAATATCGCTCCAAAAATCCTTTTCCAAAAACAAAATCATCGGCATTTTCCTGTATGGTCAAATGGTTATGGTAACAAAAATTAAAAGATTTTTGAGAGTACAAGAAAATTTGCTAAAACCAATTCAGAACCAAACTAAATGATCAGACTCTTTCTTCATGAAAGGTGGGTGGTAATGGAATTTTCTTAAAAAAACATAAACATGTGAAAAAAAGGAAAGTTCAATGACTTCAGAAGCCAATGACAAAAAGGAGATTGACAACAAAGAAATATGCTAATAGTCTACAATACAGTAGGGCTGTCAAAATGGCTCGTTGTTCTTGAATAGTTCGTGTTTGGCTCATTAAGAAGCTCATGCTCGATTCGTTCACAATTTTTTTACGTTTGATATATAAATGAGCCAAACACAAACAAATATATATGCATAATTGATGAGTAGATTTTTAAATAATTTAATTAAATGATATTTTAATATATATAAAAAGATTTTAATCTTGCCCCTACCTTTAATATCTTACGGCTGCATGATTAGAGTTGTCAAAACATTTCTTTGTTCGCAAACAGCTCATGTTCGGCTCTTTAAGCAAACAAGCCGAACACGAACAAATTTTTTGTGTTTGAAATATAAACGAGCCGAACACAAAAATTCACATTTTTAATGAGCCGAGCACGAGCAAGAGCTGAGCCCAGGCTCACTCGTGTTCGGTTCGTTTACACCCCTACACTAAATTAAACAAAAATCACCCAAAAAAGGGGGCAGTTACATACATAACACACAATTCTTACATATTCATATATCCATCACCTAAACATTGATATTTATAAACATGTCACCCAAATAATTATTATCCCATCAAAACTACAAGTATTGCTATCTTTTTAAAAGTAAAATATACCTTTTTCATGCATAGGTTTATAACAGCCAAATGATATAAATGTAAATATCAAAAGTTAAGTGTTAGATATGTAAATATATAGGAACTGTGTGGCATGAATGTAAATTTCACTCCAAAAAAAAAATAAGATTTTGCAAAAATAAGCTCCCTTACTCCTTCTTGGAGCAGCCATTTTTCCGAGATAAAATGTCAAGAGCCATCATGCTATTCTCCGCAACTTCAACACCAATACCAAGTCTATGAAGATGGTAACTCGTCACGGCACTTCTGACCGGCCTCTGGTCAAGTAAAACGATTTTCATACCTTTGAAACAGATTGGCAAATCTTCTGAGGGTGATCTCTTTAAATCACCACCTGCACTTCCAATACATTGTTCTAAGACAGCAGTAAATGTAAATGTACTTCCCACATTTGGTCTGCTTATGAAATGTATTCTTCCACCCATTAGTTCTACCAAACATTTACTTATGCTCAAGCCAATGCCAGTTCCACCATAATTCCTTGATGTTGAGCTATCAGCCTGCATAAAAGGCGTGAATACTCTATCCTGGGCGTTAAATGGGATTCCAATCCCACTATCCTCCACACTTACGATCAAAGAAACATTTTTTGATTTTTTATCACTCGAAAATCCATTTAGAGAGACAGCAGCCTGAGATGATTCATTGGAAAGCAAAAGCTTGAAATTTTCCCAGCTGTTCCTGTCATCAGCTGCTTCAAATCCGCTTAAAGTATTGATTTTTCTGCCACTAGACATGGCCTCCACTTCGTCTACTTTTCCATTCAAACAGGTGGACGACATGCCTTCGATTGCAATATCTGATTGCCTGGACAGATGAACTTGTACGAGTATGTGACCTCGTTCTGTAAACTGTTACAAATAAGCAAAAATTACACATAAAAAAACAAGGAATAATACGAGAGCACTTGAAACTAAATAAATCATGCAGAATGTGTATTCATGTTAACTTTTGCTTTGCAGTAATCATTTACTTTAAGTGCAAGGTAAGCATAACGGATACTTACTTTTACCGAATTGCCAACAAGATTAGTAATTATTTGCCGAAATCTTCCTGGGTCACCAGTTAGAACTTCTGGAACGCTATTAGAGACCAAAGCAGCAAGCTACATTTTGACAATTCAGTGGTAATAGGAAAGTTAGATATTCAATTATATAAGAAAAGCACAAATTGGCACAAGATAAAAACATCATTGATTCAATTATATAGTATATAAAAATGCTACTAAAAAGCAGAGAGTTTCAAGAATGACAATGATGAATCAAACTAACCTCAATTCCCTTCTCCCTTGATTTAGCAGAAAATAAAGAAAGCACGTCATCAAGAATGGCGCGTAAGTCAAATGGTACAGCTTCAATCTCTAACTTTCCTGCTTCAATCTTTGCCCGGTCAAGAACCTCATTGATCAAAGCTATTAAAGCCTTCCCACACACCTGAGCAGTCTGAGCATAATCTTTTTGAGGTAGATTCAAATCCGTATCCAAAAGCATGTCCAACATTCCTGAAGAAAAAAAAAAGAATCTTATAGCCGAAAGAATTGCAAGACAGATTTGCAAAGCATGTACATGAGGGAGGTATTAACTGTACATACCAAGAACGCCATTCATGGGTGTCCTGATTTCATGTGAAACAGTAGCAAGAAACTGCCAACAAGAAGATGAATCAAGGGAATCATAAGGATTAGACAGAAGGGTTTATGGGACTAAAATAGAATTTCAAACCTGAGACTTTGCAATATCAGCAGCTTCAGCTTGGACTTTCAATTCTTCCATCTTCCTACAATCCTCCATAACCATAACATAACGTTTCTGAGCCGCATACAATATATAAGCTACTAACATTAAGATCACAACCAGACCAGATGGTGAGGTAATTGCTGACCATGGCATGGTAGGTTTCTGGCTATATCTGCCAGTCAAAACATAAGATAATATTATTTAGGGGCACTTACAAACATATATGACAACTAAGATTTCATATTTAAATTCATACAATGCAAATCTTAAATATCACATAAAAAATATCACCATCACTATATTTTTAAAAGTGAAATACACATTTTCATGCATAAGTTCATGACACCACATGACACCAAGAAGTTCATGACACCAAGGTGTCATAATGGTAAATATCAAACTTTAGGAGTTAGATATATAAACATATAAGCATTGTGAGGTCTGTATGTAAGGTTGTAAATGAACCAATACAGTTGATGAATGACTTGAATTTAACTCGATTAACATTCCATCATGTTTGCTCAAATATGTAAGAAAAAAAGTTAGAAATTTTTTTAAGATTTCTTGAAGTTCATTAAAAAAACTCTTATTGTTGAACAAATAATTTGTTAAATTTTATACACTTATATGATATTGTTTAAATAATAGTAAATTTATTAGAATATATTTAAGATCATAATTAAAAATAATATATTATAATTTAATATCAATATGCATATAATTTTAATAAATTTTTATTTCAATAAACTAGATTGTCAGCAGTTATGTATGTTATTTGATTGCAAAAAAATTTAAAACTTATATATATTATTTTATTTACTTAGTGTAACTTGATTTAGACGCTAATTTGAAATCTATTTAATTGCATTTTATTTAGATTCGTAAAATCATTTGCTAATAATTCTATATAAAAAAAATCAAGTATTGTTCAAATTTTTAACTAATTTATTATATTTATATGAAAATTTAAGTATAGATTAATTTTTTAATCTTATATGAAAATATAAGTAATCATTCAAATTTTTAGCTTGTCAATTAATATAAATAAGTCAATTACAAATAAAGTGTGAACATTAAAAAATTTAAGTTAGTCGAGTATGAAACCTTGTCTCAAGCTTGAACTGAGCATGAATAACTTATGTTAGACTAAGCCAAGTCCAAGCAATGACAAACATGACTCAACTTGAGCCCTATGTGTATGTAGATTTCTCTACTATTTACTCATTGGTGAAATGAATACCATACTGAACCCACCGGCACACCATCTGATGCTTCCTGAATGGATCTCCAAAATCCAGCATACTCACATGAGTCAGCAGTGTATAACCTTCTAAATTTTCGAGTCCATACATGGTCAACGGATTAGAAATGTTAGTGACATCATACACATTGACCACTATATCCTGGTTACCAGCAAGTTTCCTCAACAAATTCTCAACCAGTGATTCAACATCAAAAGCTCCACCAAGATATCTGGAAATGGCAACAGAATAAGAAACGGGTTGGAGTTACCATACATTAGAATAAAAAAGGTGAAGATTTGGATTGGCAAGCCAACCCAAAGTTTAAACAGAAGTGAAAAATTGCAGGCGCATGCCCTCACCCTGCAGTAGCTTCTATACGTCCTTCAATGGTGGCATCTGCAGGAAGCCCCAATCGATAGACCGGCAATGTTAGAACTACACCTAGGTGATTAGATTCAAGTAGCCTAAAAGGATTCGTAAGAACAGCTTTTCCTGTGGCTCTAGCCCTCAATATATTCTCCCGGTCTTCCTGCAGAGCAAGGAGAATTAATAAATTGAACAGAAAGAAAACTTAAGTAATGAAGTAAACAAACTTCATGAACAACCTCTCCGGACATCATGTCGATAACCTCAAGATAAGAAACAGTCTCCTGAGAAAAAATCACCGGAGCATATTCATTTTGCACAGGCGAAGGCTCCTGTTTCATGGTTCTGATTATCCAACCCTGTAGACTCTCAAACTTTCCCCTTTCAGAATGAAGGACTCTCTGCGCATATGCCACGCCGTTCAACAATGGCCGCTCAAACGCCGTCATTCCAGTGTAAAATGCAAATGTATCCTAAATCATTAGCAAATAAATAAACTGACATATTTTCTTAAATGGATCGCTTCAAGTAAAAAATCAAAATTTTAAGAAAAACCGCTAACTCCACCACCTCAAATACTAACGCCAACAAACTCCCAGCAAGCAAATGAATTAAAATCAACAAGCTCCAAGTATTAGAAAAAAAGCAATCAACAAAACGAATACATTGTGAAGAAAGTTTACTTGATCCATGGCGCTAGGATCCTTCTGGTAATGAAAAGTGGATATAAGAACAGCTAGGGCATGGACGTGGTTAACGCTGACAGCGAACTGGTCTTGAAGCATTCTCGCCCGTTCGTCGCACATGCTAACCAACGCCTCTTCTGCCGATGTCATAGTTGAAACCGAGTTGTACCAGTGAATCACCAACCAAACAGATAACATCGCCAACATCCACAGAGTCCACGCCGTCCATGTCTGCCACCACCGCCACCCCGCCGCCGGCATCTCCGATCCCATGGCAGACAAAATTTTAGACGAGGTTTCCACTCAATTCTTCCAAATTCTCCACAAAGCTCGTTAATCTATTAATTTCTAACATATCATTTTCACTTACTTTTTCCATTTATACTAATGTTCCCGGTCGCATCGGTCTCCGTGGAAAGGAATAAAAAATAGGAAAGATGGGGGCTGTCGAGTCGGAATTATTACTTATTAGGTCGGAGGCATGGGCTAAAGGTTTCTCAAACGGAAAGTCGGGAAGAAGCACTTGGAAGCTCATGGCGAGAAATGCAACAAGCTAACTCATCTTTGCACTCAGCCAAGTTAACTTTTTTACCCATCTGTTCCCGCCAATCGACACACTGCTGCTATTTTGAACAGAACGATGAGGCCAGCAGAGGAATTGAAGGTATAGAAGCAGCTGAAGGCTGAGGAGATGATAGCAGAAACCTCTCGTGCTGTTAATGGAGACAAGAAAATATTCGCCATCTTCTTGTACCAGAGCAACTGAAACAGATTCCTGGACTTCTTCAGATACGCTGCCATTAAATAAAGTCTCTAATTTCAGAGTTCCTTTATTCCCTTTCCTTCGATCCCATTTGTCCCCTCTTTCCACGACCTTCGCTACATCAGTCAGTTGTGGTCATAATGAAAAGCTTGCCGATCTAATTTGCCGCTGCTCTGGAATTGGGCAAAGCTCTGACCTACCTTAAGAGCAACCACGTGAGGCCGGTTCCGGCAGTCCGCATCGCCGGAAAAACGGGGAATCCAGTGTGTTCTCTGACGGAGAAGAGGTTGGAATCAGTTGCCGAATAAAGATTAGGATTCTTCCTCGGTTACTGAAGGCGCAGAAAAGCGCCAAGGAAATCGCTCCCCAAGATCTCTGGGACAGCGACTACAACGAGCACAACGATCCTTCGGATGGAAGAAGTTGGACGGAAGATTTACGGTTATACCCTCTTAGTGACTAAACTTTGGAGAAAATATTTTGTTCAATATTCCGAACGCACAGGAACGCACATCATAGAGCGATTATTGGGTGCGGAGAGCGCACGTAGAGTTGTGTGCGCTCTCCGATCACAACTACACATCGCGGCTGCCGCACCCAATAATTAGACCACATCATGACAGTCTACCGCTGGGTGTCACGTCCTCATATATCTCATCAGTGGGTGACGTTGCACCCAATAATTAGCCGTCTGAAAGTGCGAAGTTTAGAGTCTATATGTGGATAATGATTTTTTTGATAATATTATTTATATTTATGATAATATTGAGGCTAATGTGATATAGTGATATCATAATATCACCAATACTATTATGAGAATCATCGATCATGCCTACGTTATTTGGATGCAATATTTTCTTAGGGAATAGGGGTGTAAAGGATTCTCGAGTGCTTGAGTTTGAGCTTGATTAGTTATGTGGATAATTAAATTCCTATCACCCAAAATATTAATATTTATAAATTAACCATTTAAATAATTTTTTTGATATATTTATGTGTGTTCCAATCAAACCATACATAATTTAATAAAAATGAAAAATATTGATTGGGGTTTTACCATGAATTTTAATATTTGCGTGAGAATTTGAAAATTAGATTAATGAGGTGGTTAATTTAGAAAGAGCAAGTTCCAAGTGGTCTATACATAATTGCCTCGTATTTTTACTGGGTTCGAGAACTCAAACTTAAGTCTATGAGTTTGAGAGCTGGCTTATGAGCGTGCTTGTTTTTTATAAAAAGAGAGAAAAATATATTAATTCAAAGTAGTATTATAATAAAATGAAAAATAGATTTAACAATTATGAGAGAAATAATAAGAAATCATATAATATAACATACTAAATAATAAAATATTTTTAATACTTTAAAGATAAAGTCCTCAAATTTAATATATTTTGAGTATATTTTATATTAATATTTGTTAAATGAGTCCGCCTACTAGTTAATGAGTTAAGTCAGGGCTAGCTTGAGCTTGGCTTATTAGCTGATCGAGCTCAGTTCACGAGTCACTTATCGAGTTGAGCACGAGCTAGCTAGGGTTGTCAAAACGGCTCGTTGTTCGTGAACAGCTCGTGTTCGGCTCGTTAAGAAGCTCGTGTTCTGCTCGTTCGCTAAGTTAACGAGCCGAACACG